TGAAAAAGAAGCAGCACATCTGTAACTACTTGTGTCTGGATGTGTTCCTAAGACCCTCCCATTAAGATGTTTGCTTAAGAACAGAAGTTCATTTTAATCTCATAGTAAGTATAAGATTCCACTTTGATTAAAGGTATTGTGCCAACACTCAAAGCTCATAACTGAAATAAAACAAGGTGAATGTTCAAGTGTCATTTTTAGAAATGTGATTAATGATCTAATGAACAGGCCTCCAAACGTATCTAATATTAATATAAATGTGAAAATAAATACATATTCGCTAATACTTGAAATAAATTGTAAAGGGGAAATATGGGAACTGGCTGAGAGCAGAAAAACAGGGAATTATCAGGAACTTGTCTGATTATACTACCTAGCTGGGGGCTACATTTGCTTTGGTAATCACAGGGTCCATTGGTGTGCTTTAATAAAAGGGTACTGAAGGCCCCCCTAGAAGGCCAAATTTCATTCCAGGAAAGCTCTTTGTGGATGCATTCCAGCAGTGGGTAGGGTCAAAATATCATCATATTTTAGCTTAAAGCCCTTGCTGGTGGATACTAAGCTTAGGAGAGGCATTTTAACCTTTTTGACTGGGGTAAAACTGCAAAAAATCCAAGAAACCCCCCAGTGATTGGTGGATGAAGGGAAAGGGTGTGGCTATCCTGGACGGGAGTTCTGAAACCCTTTTTTAATGAATATGACAATGCTTTCTGATGGATCTGTAACCATTCCACCAGGGTTTTTCCATAGATGTACCTCAGGAAAAATGGCATGGATCCCTAATCTTGATGTAACATTGCCATGTGAAAAATTGCTTTTAAAAATGTTCTCTAAAAACTAATTTGATAATATGTGCATGTAATATGGGTTGAACCTCTCATCCCAAACATAGACCAGTTTGTAGATCTACATAGACTATTTAAGGGGTGTGTTTTCGTATGGAATGGTTTTGGCTGTTCTTGGATACATACTCTTGTGGAAGCATACTCATGGCTGTTTAGACACATAGACTGGGCTCAGGCAATGGTATAACCCACATGCAAGGGTTGAGGATGGGTTGAGTGTGGGCTGGGTTGTTGAAATGTGGACTCTTAATGTTATCTGAGACCAGCTACAATTTCACAAAGCAACAGCTGTCTGTGGCTCTCTCTGGCTAGCTGCTTGGCAAGAGCAGCAATGGGCCACTCTTCCTAAGCAGCTCCATGGTTCTGGCCTTGGTACCACAGTGAATTGTGTTTTCCAGTTCATATGACAGAACAAACCATCATAGTACCAAGAAACCCTAGAACAAACCATTGCTTCTCTTCATGGTTTTAAAAACCAAACATAATGTGCTGAAATACCACAACAGGATTCCGATCAACATATGCAAAAAATTAAAAAATATAATAAATAAATAACAGACCCTGTTGCTTGTAATGTGTGAATCCACTCACATTTCAACAACAATCCATGGTTCAATGACAACCTATATTCAACCCTCAAGTGTGAGTTTTCATCCTACACAAACCCACAGGCTTCTTTCCTGGATGGATCCTGTTATTCGGAGGGGAACTGCTTGGGCAGAAGCTGGATTTGAACAGTGCTGAGAGATGCTCTTGTATGGACCACAAAACCAACTGTCTCCAAACAGTTTCTAAAGTGGTTCAAACAGTTTACAAAAACAAAACAAAACAAAACCCTACACCTGAGCATTAAAAAAACCAATATACCATTAGTAGATAAATAGGCTTTTCATTTGCTGGGGTGAAAGAGCAAACAACCCAATTGAAGCATAGTTGAAGGGAGAACAGAAAGATATAATCAGGTTATGCAGGAGAAAATTGAAAAGTGCAGAATAGCATTCACTCCCCAGCCAACCCTCCTACATGTGCTCTTCTTCATAGGTATGCCCGTGCGCATCATTACTGTATGATTTGCTGTTGAAGATGGCTGTTGTGCTCTTTCTACATCTGTTGGTGCATACAATTGAAAAAACAAAGACTGGAAGTGATTTAAAATGAAGAAAAAATATTATGACTTCCTCTTAAGGAAAATTTAGCATTTGGATTCATGCACATTGTCAATAAACAACTTTCTGCAATGTGTTCCTGTCTACAAAATGATTAAGTTGTGGTTTGCTACACAAATATGATAAAAATGAAACTAAGGTTAAACTTCTTTTCTCTGCTAAAAGAGCTATACTAATCAATGTGATTGACCGTCCACATTTTTGAAAAATAACAAGAATTTGTTTGTGCTCCATCTTTCTCCAGGTTTTTCTGGGCTTATCAGGCCTTCTGAGCCCATCTTGTTTGGTTCTTTGGTTAGCAAAGTTGTAATGGATCTAAATTAATGCCTTGTGCTGTTTTGGTTGATACGTTAGTGAGCTGCCTCTAGCTGGATTATTCAGCTCACCATCAGTCTTCCGTACTAGCTTGGCACAGCTGGTTAAATCCTTTGGGAATTTTAACCATGCATTGTGGTTAGTTTTTTGTGCCTGACTGGTGATAAGGCATAGCAGGGGTTGTATGTCTCATCCTCCTCATTCCCTTTCTGCCTAGCTCTCCTGTAGTACCCTGACCAAAGGGTGCTTTCCACACATTCCACCTTGAAAGAAAATACTTTAAAATACTTAGACTACACTGTTGCAATTTGGCATGTGTACTCTATTCAAGCAGATCAGTGTCCATGTTGTTTGTTGCTGTTGTTAGTCGTGAAGTCGTGTCCGACCCATCGCGACCCCATGGACAACATTCCTCCAGGCCTTCCTGCCCTCCACCAT